TTTTTTTTTTTAAAGTTTAAAGCTTGTTTTCAAAATTTTAAATTTAATAACAGTTATATAAATACCAAAAATTTTCATGTAGTGAAAATTTTCTAGTACAAATTTATGTGAATATAAAAAACTGAGAAAATTTATAGAACCTTTGATAGCTGTTTGTCATTATAAAGTTAACCTCACAAAAGTTCTATCACTTATTAAAGAGTTTTGGTGCAAGAATAAATGAGTTTAGAACTTTAAATTTCTAAATAATTTTTGAAAAAAATGCAATGTAGAATAAGTGTTAAATTGCACCGCTGACTAACTGTTAAATAATATAGCGCTGTTTGTCAAAGTATAGGCAGTGTTGTGTTTTGGTACAGCTATTTCGCCTGATTTTCAAGTAAAACCTATGCTGTTGCAAATATGAAAAATTTTTCAACTCAATCAAGCCAAGATTTATGAAATGTTCTAATCTACTCAAGCATTCGGCAACTGCGAAACGGTTCTGGAGCCAAATGACAGCAACAACGACCGTTATTTTAAAACCCTTGCACATTTCGACAATTTACTCTAGCTCGACTCTTTTGAGAATTAATAATTTGAGTATCACCACTATCTATGGTTCCTTAGTCGTAAATAACATTAGGATAAAGTAGTCAATGTAATTCAGTAAAAAACAGCATAGTTAATTAAAAATGATTGCGTAACAACGACAAATTTACTGGTAAACTTGTAAAATAAGACTGTTTCTTCTGCAAAACAGCATTTTCTTGCAGACAAAGAACAATTTTTGCATAATTATTTGTTTTTTAAGACAGCTGTCAGAGACTTATCAAACAGCAGTGGTATCAATTTCAAAAAAGTTTGGGCAAGGCAGTATTGTTATAATTGTAAATGCTTCAATTTTACAGTTTTATATGAGTTATTTTTTGTTACTGATTTCTAAGCGCTTTTAGCAGGATATCTGAAATTTTCGATACTACTATTATTTCTTTGCGGTAAATTTCGTCAACCTTTATTTTTTCAACTGACCTTCGGCATTATTTATCTGTTTTCTTTCTTTGCCTTTCTTATAACCTTTTGTTTTAGTTAAGCTAAGATTTATCAATGCTCGGTGATCAACTGTTCTTAGGCATATTATCTAACAGTAGATCCCTTTCCAGAATGCATTTTCTTTTTTAACGGTTGAATAACATTAAATTACATTGATGAAGGTTAACAGTTTTTTGCCGTATTGTTACTTTAAAAAAGCATTGTTTTCCTTGCCGTAAAGTTTTTTAGTAATTTTTCCTTTCTTTTTTTTCAAATGATTTTGAGATGTAAACGACTGAAAAGTTTTTGCAAATGTATTTTTAAGTATTTCATTTTATAAGCAGCAGATTGTAGCTGCAAAAAAAGAGCAACTTTCAAAGTCATTTTGACTTTTTTATTTTTTATTCAGGGAGTATTACTAAATGAAGTATCCTGTTTGATTACAGTTTCAAAGATCAACCAAATATACAAAAATCAGTACCAAAAATTTCTTTTTGTCCACACTTATTTCTGTTTGGACATGGCAGTGTAACAAACTGTGTAAGGAAGCATCTTGTATTTACAAGAACTTGTGATTTAAGTCAATTTGTTATATCATTGAAAGCTGCACTGACAAATCGGTGAATATTTTTGATGCTAGTCTGTAAAAAATTGCTTTAATTAAACAGATCTACTGACAACTGATGAAGACTTCTGCTTATCAAACAATTTTGGTAGAACTTGTAGCACGGGCAAAGCCATACTTGATTATTAGACACAGTTGCGATATTGTTTTTGCGGCCTAGAAGAAACTGCTTATTTTGTGTTGATCGCAAAAATAATCACAAAAATGAAGTCCGATAATCATTTGCATGATAAAAAATATTGCTTAGTGAATAGTGTAAACAGGACTCGGATCAACAGCTTCAACGAAATGCTTCATCCATGTCTGTTGTATCGAGGTTCGCACCGTTTCCAAAAAGTCGCTTCATCATTTCAGTATGGCCTTCCTCTGCTGCCCAGTGCAACGGAGTCCACTAAAGAAAAATGCCATTTTCAAAATGCAAAACTTTTTTTAT